GAGATCGACAATGAGGTTGATTGTGCCATTGGATGTGCTCGCGCTGTCAGATGCGCAGGGAGGCGACGCCCCTCGGGTCGTACAGATTTCGCGTGGACAGGCGATCCCCCCTGGGGCGAGCACAGCAGGATCGATCGCCGCATCCATTGGTACTCAGACAGGCTGTGAGGTCGATAATTGGATCGGTCGGGTGATATCGAAAGCGGGGACGATAGTGGCATTACATCGTAGCGCAACGTCGTCATCACGCGTCGTCGTAAACTCGAGAGCGCGTCATCGTCATCAGCACACCCATCGCATGTGCCAGCAGTTGGTTACTTCCCCCCCACCCCCCACCCCAGCCTCCAACTCACCCGCGGAGTGGTTGTAAAGGTATTGTTAGCCATTCTACCAATATATAACTTGCACCGCAAAAGTTTGTTACATTGTCGTAGACCATACCCCCGTGCCGACGCTGGACGGTATTCCCTTCCCCCCCCCATTTCCGCGCATTTGCGTTTTGGTCATGTCTGCTCTGCTACAAGATAGCAAGCGTCACATCACATGTCCCGTTCCCTTCACCGTTCATCTTCCCACTATCGAACAAGACCATCCCAGCCAGCCTCTTCATAGTTCCCCCCTGTCACACCCCTTTCAAATAATATTATGCGGAGCAGTCGCTGGGTTATCCAATGTGGATATCGAACGACTCCTTAACAACCAAGACCATGCTGGCAACACGCGCGCGCCCCTGGGCGAGCATGTAAACTTATCTGCACAACCAGCTGGCGTCCAACCATTTCAAGGTAGCCGTCTTCAAAACAAAATCAGAAGAAAGCATTCAAAGGTGGCATGATTTACGCGCGCACATTTTCGAACCAGAAAGAACCAGAAAACGTCGTTGGTTTGAAATTCTGTCGAATGTGTGACTATTCAGGCCGCACGCGTGTGCACGTCGAAATCATCCAGCAATCATCGCGCACACGCCAATTCTGCCAGATGCAGCCAAACGGGCCAGACGAGCGCGTCCCCGCGAGCGCATGTCGGAGTCATCATAACACAAGTAGTTCTCTAAGCAAGCTCAAACCATGCGAAACCCAAATGGCCCTTCAACGAAAATGCATCGCAGTTCCTGTGCGCGCGCGGTGCCTCGTCACTCTCATCAGCACCATCGTCATCATCATCATCATCATCATCATCATCATCATCATCATCATCAGCATCAGCATCAGCATCATCATTATCATTATCAGTATCATCATCACCACCAGCATCATCACCACCAGCATCATCAGCAGCATCATCATCAGCACATCATCATCAGCACCAGCATCATCATCAGCATCATCATCACCATCATCATCGTCATCATCACCAGCATCGTCATCATCATCAGAATCACAATCAGCATCATCAGCAGCAGCATCCTCAGCAGCATCATGGTCATCGCCCCCCTCCCCCACCGAAACCCCGGACCTCGATCCTCCAGGTCGCTCCTCGACCCTCGCCGCGGCCCACGCGCCGCGCACAGCGGCCCGCGATCCGAGCGGCCGCGCCTCCCCCGGCCGTTGCTCGGGGCGGCGGGCGCTCTCGCCGGGCACCTCTCGCCGGCCGCTGCGCTTGGCAGCAGCCACGCGGCGGGCTCTTTTCGGGACTCTCAGCGGCCCCGCGCGCGGTCGTTTCCTCGGCAGCAAGGCATTGGAGCTTGGCATGCCAGACGGAGGAGGAGGAGGAAGAGGAGGGTGAGGAGGAGGAGGAGGAGGAGGAGGGCGTCGATGAGGAGGAGGAGGGCGTTGAGGAGGAGGAGAAGGGCCTCTTGATTCTGCTTTCCGCGTCGGTCAGCGTCTGGGGCTCGGCGAGGTGGCGCCGATCTGGCGTCGGCGAGTGTCGATGTAGCGTCGGCTCAGCGCCGATCGGCATCTGTTCAGCGTCGACCAGCGTCGATGCGCAAGAGCGGACAGGGTGGTGTGGAAAGCTCACATGAGTTGCCGCCGAGCGTGCCGTCACCGCGCGCCGAGGATCGGAGGGCCTGGCGGGAGCCGCCGTGCGGGGGGGGGGTATTATGCTCCGCTGCCCTCACACGTACGGTCCGGCCGAGGTATGAGAGCGAGGGCGGTCCGGGGAGGCTGCCCCGATGCTCGTCGTGGCTGTGGGATGTGTCGGCTAGACGTAAGAGTGACCCCTTTCGCCAGAGTGACCCTTTGGTGCGGGCACAGATGGGCACCCCGGTGGCCGAGCGCGAAGCGGCAGCAGCGGCTCGCGCGCCTGGATATTTGGCCTCCCCGCGGCCCCCCAAAGAGCCGCGCACCAAGGGTCACTCTTACCCAGGGTCACTCCTACGTGTAGCCGGATGTGCTTGCGCATCCTGGGGGAGGGCACGCTCGCATTGTCTGTGCGTCTCGGCCGGCGGGGGGCCTCCTGTGCTCGAGGGGGATGCTCTCGTCTGTCCCGGGTCCGACCGTGAGCTGGGCATCTGGTTCAGAGGCCTCCTCTCGAGGAGCTGGGCCAGCGTTCCTCGGCAGAGCTGCCAGAGAGCTGGCCCGGCTTCTTTCACTAAGGGGAGGTCTACTTAAGGGAGGTTTGTCCACCGCCGATTCTTGGGCAGGTTCGCCCCTCCAGCGTCAGCAGCAGGCGGTGGCCCAGGCTTGTGTCAAGAGGCTTGCGGGAAGCTGCCCCCGACTTTTGCAAGTGGTGGTTTTCTGGATCGTGTCTCCAGCTGACGCTCGTTCTGAAGCGCAACGCGTATCCCCCTGGTCAAGTCGTCCCTGTTCACATGTTGCGTGTTGGTTTGGCACACATTGGCCCACGTTTTGCGAACGTACCGCGCTAGACCTACGTCTTCACAGTATACAGTCGGGGTGCTGAAGAAGGAACCCTTCTCGTTGGGGAGGGGCTCGGTGTTCCTTGATTGTTTAACTGTTTGCCTCAGGTTGTCCTGCGAGCTTCCATGGAAAATCAGAGTTTAACTTGTGGGAAAAAAGGGGCCTCGTTCCTTAGCTAGGGTTCCTTAGGGCAACGCTCCGGCTGTACGTCGGGAACTCCGTGTCGACACGCTACGGGAGGCGTGATGCGTACCAGGGCGGCCAAGTTCGTGAGGCTTCGAGCTGCGCAAAAAAAAACAGCCCCCCCCCCCCGGCGGTCCCGGCCGGCCTCGGCAGGCCCCCCGAGCCGTCCTGGGGCAGTGTCGACACCCCCGCGGCGCCCCTCGGGGCGCTCCGCGCCCCGGGGTCCTAGTCTGCTAAGGCCGCCCCGGGACCATTCGGAGGGGGCCTGTGGAGGCCAGCTGGGACTACTCGGGGGGCCTGTCGAGGCCAGCTGGGACTACCCTGGGGGGGAGGGGCTGTCTGCTCGCAGCCCGAAGCATCAGGGGGGTTTCCAGGCCTCCCTAATGGAGGGAGTCCGAGCAGTTGGGGTCGGAGGGTCACGCCGCCTCGCCGCTGCATCGGCGATGCGGCTCGATGTGGAGCCCGAGTTTCTCCATGCCGACAACGCCGATACATCGCCGATGCGGCGCGATCCTTCGACCCTATCTGCTCTGACCTTGGTTGTTCTTGGAAACGGCATGGCCGTTGTTTCACCGTTTCCAGAAATCGTGATCTTAATATTGAAAAGGGTAAAGAAACGGCTCGCCGAAATGTTCCGGGAGTGGGATCGGAGCCAGATCCGATAAAACAACGGCGCTGGAATTGGAAAACAATGGCAAAACGAAAAACGGTGAAAAAAATGTTTCGTCGTTTCCAAGATCCACTAAGGAGGCTCGGACCTCCTCAGGGAGGCCTCCATTTACGTCAGCATGGAGGAGAGCGGGTCCTGGCGGTCTTCCGCTGTATCTCGGCTTCCCCTCTGATCTGACGGTGCACCGACGTCGCGATTCTTTGCACGGCCCTTGCCCCAGACAGGTCTTGGACGCCTTGCCCATGGTGATCGTTTTCCTAGTCATTGTTTTGCCGATCGGCGCGGGCCCTTGCACCCACCCCTCCCCCCCCACGGAGTAGATCTTGGCTGTTTTTTGGCGCCTATTTCGAGCAGATGGAGTCTCGCCTGTAGGACGCACTGCTTCAGACAGTCGCAGTAAGCAGAGGTCCGCAACCAGACCCCCCCCCTTCCGCCCAGTCGAAACGCCGAATAAGAAAACGCTCACATGGTCTGTTTTTCATCCCAGACCTTTCTTTCGGCGGCTCCAAGGTCCCCGTTCGGCCCCGTCGATGGCACGCAACCTGCGCCGGCCCCCATCACATCGCCAATGTCACGTTGAGGGGGTTCGGTCGTACGCACCCCTGAGATTCGACGTTACAACAAAAAAAATGCAAAACAAAAAAAACAAAACAAAACAAAAAAAAAAAAAAAAAAAAAAAAAAAAATGCTGGACCCAATACTTCTGCGTGCGCTTTCGAACCGAGCCATGGGGGTCCCTGGGCCCGAAACCCAGCGAAAACGCCCGTGGTGAAAAATCGCAACGCCAGGATCTCTCAGGGTCCCCAGGGACCTCCCCCGGCCCCGCGCCCTTCAAGAGACGGCCCGGGAGCAGAGGGAGGCGGGGGCGGCGGAGGCTGGCGTCAGAGGCGACCAAGAGGGGGGTGATGATTAGGGGGGAATATCATGGCCAAGGCCATGATAGCTTTCCCGATGTCATGGCCCCTCTTCTTGTTTACATGCGTTCCCTGGCCCCCCCCCCTCCTCCCCCTGGTCCGCGCACATGCCTCGGGCCACGATTTGCGAACGCCCCTCTTGGACGCCCCCCCTCTGGGACGCCCCCCTCTGGGACGCCCCCCTCTTGGACGCCCCCCTCTTGGACGCACCCCTCTTGGACGCCCCCCCTCTGAGACGCCCCCCCTTCTGGGACGCCCCCCGCTCGGACGCCCCCCTCTTGGACGCACCCCTCTTGGACGCCCCCGATGGCGGGCCGGAGCGCGGAAGGCGTCGGTGGAGCAGGCTCCCCCCTCGCGGCTCCCGCCCAGGGCTTCCGCAGCTGTGCCAGCTGCTTTGTTCTTGCTTCCTTCTTGTCTCGGCCCTTGGTCGCC